TGAAAGAGGGGTGTAAGTGGCTTTTGTCTTAAAAAAAGCCAAGCTAAAACTATTTTAGTTTAGGAAAGAGAAGTTATTTTTAAGTAACCCCTGTTTAACTCGAGTAACTCTGTTTAAAAACGGTAAATTCGCGTTTTTTCAAATTTTATCGCCAGGGGGGGATCTAGGGGGGGGGGGCGGGGGGTGCGCACCCCCCCCCCCCCCGAGTTGACCTGCGGTTTTCTAATACAACTGGAATCCGGCAAAAAAAACTATGTTGTTTTATTGGTGTTGAAGTAGAGCAAGAGACGAGTGTACCCCCTTATGAAAAACATCCTGGATCCGCCCCTGATCGCTATTACTGATACACCGCGTTAACCTTGGATTTTGAATTTTTCTGGAGTTGAATTCTGAAATAAGCTTACTTGATCAAATCAAATTGTTGTTTTTTGTTCACGTTACCCATAAAACGTGAAATTAGGAAAGTTCGCGTCGTACTCGTGTATTATGCATGACAGCAAAAAATGTACAAAATGTGCTGCACGTGCAATGTTGTTTTGCATTTTAAACCTTGTTGGCCACTAGTTCAGGAGGTTTATTTAGTAGAAAATTAAGAGATGATGATCATTTTCCTTGGCTAAATGTCTTTGAGGCTTGTTGGGGATTACTGAAAACACTTTTCGTCAAAAATTCATACCTCTATTCAATTTTCCTTTTGCTTCCATCCAGGTTTTGGTTCTTCAGCGGAAATGTACTACGATACAACTCTTCAAGAGGCTGTTTTCCGTGGTCTGAAATGCCACTCGAATGAATTGTCAAGAACCATCAAATTCCTCAGGCTGATTGCAAATTACTTGCATGAAGATTACAACAGCGTTTTCTACGGAAAGGCGCAGAACCTAGGCCGAGTTCTATGCAAAGCTTACGACGAGGCCTTTGAAAAGTATGACGTGTTAATTCTACCCACCATTCCAAAGAAGGCACCAGTCTTCCCACAACAGAATCCTTCCCTGAAAGGTAATGTTGTGACATTCGTTAATATGCTCTTTACTTTGCCGGACTCAACAGTTTAGAAAGATGAGAGAAGTTGGAGCTCTGTTCATATCCGTACTGTCAATGTCGGTGTGTAGAATTCGCCACTTTAGAAACCAGAGGGAACTGGGCCGAGTCAACTCTCGCAAAGACTTCTGGAACTGTAACTAAGGAAAAGGAAAAAAAGGGGGCATTAGGGAGTTTAAGGAGCGACGTTTTAGAGCGACGCACGTCCATCGGAAGTGGACGTTTTGCACTCTTGAGCCGTGATTTTAAAAAAAATGTGGGCAAATCGTCTCAGTGTATAAGAATTAAGACACTTAGCAATACAAATTTGGTGGCGTCAAGGTAATAAAAGACAAAAAGGCTCACTTCCGGTTGACGTGCGTCGCTCAACAACGTCGCCGATTAAGCTCCCTATTAAATAGGGACTTCAAGATCCAACTACGCGACGGCAACGAGAACGTCGATTAAAAAGTGAATTTGCGTTCTTTCAGTCTTTATAGCGATTATTCCTACCCACTTACTTTGTCAAATGTAGGCGAACCCTCCTGAAGCTGAATTTCAAGGGGTTATATCCAAGCTCAGAAAGAGAAATAAATTTCGTCGTTGCTTGTTTACGTCCTCCGTAAAACGCAAATTAGGCATTTTCACGTCGTAGTCGTGCAAAAACGGGAAAGAAATGTACAAAGAGGTGTGATGCACGTGCAAAGTTGTTGTTTTGCTTAATTAAACCTATTCTTTTTGTGGACGTTTTCGTTGCCGTCGCGTCGTTGAATCTTAAAGTCCCAAATAATAGCTGACCGGCGCGTCCCAAGTAACGATTCCAGTTCGCTTCTCTCTGCTTGAGTGGCGAATGGTCGAAACTTATCACATCTTCGCTAAATTGTTGAAGCAAAGCCAACAGTTTTAACTGCTCAGAATGCTTCGTAAAGCACTCAAGGATGGGTATTTTTGCGTACTTCAGAGAATTTTTATTTTTTATAGAGGCCACTCGCGATATAGCGAAAAAATTGCCGGTAGATGACCAAATACCAGCTTGAGTCATCCAAATAATGTCTCCTGAGTGTTATATGTAAAGTTTGGAATACACAAACGTTGTCTTTTGAAACATTTTGCTTTCTTGAAAAACGTTTGCTATCATTTCAATTTTAAATTTTGCGCTTCGAGTAACTTATTGTTTTTTTTTTTAATGAGCTGCTGATTGGTCGACAACAAACTCTCTAGGAATGTATTGTTATTTTCATGTAACCCAGTTGGTAAACTTTGTCTAAGTGGCCCCGGCTAGTAGTCGCCCGGCTGTCTTCAATTTAGCAAAAGTTAAATTAATGTCTTTGCAGAATACGCCGAACGAGCCATGGAAAATGCCGTGAGTACCTCGTCCTTCAACGTCACAGGTCACCCAGCTCTGACAATCAACGCAGGCTTCAGGGATGGCTTGCCAATTGGAATGATGATTGTTGGAAGAAAGTTTGATGAAGCCACTGTTCTTAATGTCGCCTATGCTTATGAGAAGATCAGAGATTCAAAATAGTAACCCAACCTTCATATGAAACTGCTGCAAACTGTTCGAAGTTTTCGAAATATTTTACATAGTGGTTTACTGCCAAATCAGCATTTAGTTAATTTTTTTTGTAGTTGCTAACAAAAAAGTTTAGAAATAACACTGCTTAATCCCACAAAAATGTTATGAGAACAAAGGTCGGTGTAAGAACCTGTAATACTCGGGAATGACGTAAAACAAAGGGGAAGAAAAGAAGTCAACACAATAGAAGTTAGGAAAACAAAAGGTTCGTAAGAAAGGAAAAGTTTACAGGTTCTTACACCAAGGTAAAACCCAAAAAAGGGAATTATCTGCGAGTAAAACAGGTCTTGATTCCAAAACAAATTCTCCCGCAGTAGTGCGGAGAATTTTGCTTTCTGGTATTAGGGTTTAAATAGTTAAGCCAACTATATGGTTTGTTTTTTTTATCGTCTCTCTAAAGATATCAAAATTTAATTTTGATCAATCATAAAACTCACAGCCAATTCGCTTAACCCATCAGGGTTGCAGCAAATAGATGTGTCTAGGTAGCCAGATTCAAGCGCGGGAAAAACTCAGCTAGTGGGCAAGTCATTACTGAATTTGGTTTTACTTTTGATTGGTTAAGAAATCACTTGTGACATTTCAGCCGTGTGACATCACAGGTCATAGGAATGCAAAAGCAAAATATATAATCACCAGATTACATTCAACACTGAAATATATACCAATATAATGCCTTAAAAAAGTGAAGAGCTATAAAGGCAAAAGGAAACGACACTATAATATACAGCTCATTAGTTCACGAGCAGTGCATTAACAGAAAATTCCCGATGCTTAAGAACTGTTTTTCTTTGCGTTTACATTGCCGTCGTAGTTGTTTACCTTATAATAATAATAATAATAATGATA